CAATAATTGTTAAATGTATAATAATCATTTAATCTACCTACAAATTTTATTGATCTTAATGAGTTAAATCTGCAGAGATTGATTATGGTCAAATCAACAAATGTTATTGGTTTTTTGCTGTCATTTTTATATTATATTTAGTTTAAAAAATATCCCAGTATAAAAATAACAAAAAATATTATAACATTCAGTTTTTAATTTGATTTTTGTATTTCGTGATTTAAATATTGTCGAATTAAACAATATAAATTAATTGACTTTAATATATTTTATAATTAATTTAAAATATAAAAATTTATAATCAAATAAGTTGAAGACTTGATAATCTGAATCGTTATTTCGTTTAATTAAGATTAATATTTATCATTAAATGTAACACTGATCAGATTTGTTTCGCAGTAACCGAATATTTATTTTTCTATATTCATTACTTTTGATGGTATTGTAATACCATTTAGATTTATACATTCTTTAAAACAAATAAGTAGAAGATCTAAATTATCTAACTCGTTTTCGATGAATAACTTTTTTAGATTAAGATTTATCTTAATCATTAAATGTGGTATTACTCTGATATTTATATCCAATATATATCTTTGTTGATATTTCTCACTTTAGATAGTATTGTAATACTTTGTAAATTTTCGCATTCACAGAAACAATTATAACCAATTGATATAACATTCGATGGTATTGTAACACTTGTTAAACTACTGCATTTATAAAAACAATAATTATTAATCGATGTAACACTTGATGGTATTGTAACACTGCTCAAATATTAGAACATATGACCGAAACACCAATCACCAATTGATTTCACATTCTATGGTATAGTAACACTGCTCAAACTAGTAAATTCATAGAAACATTTATCATATATATTACATTCAATGGTATGTTATTACCTTTTTTTTTCTGTTGTTTTTGGTGTATATTACACTTTTAAACTTAATGTTTTAAATTATGTTTTCATCATTAATAAAAACATAATCAACATGATAATAAATGTAATACATTATGATCATGTTCAAAATAATTTATATAAATGATTATTAATATATAAAATATATATGAAAATGATGTTTGTAAGATGCTATTATTGTTGTATTATAATATGTTATTAAAATTGTGAAATTATAATTAATTAAATTATACAATCAAAATATATTAAAATATTTTATTTAAGTTGTTAGTTTTTGATAATTTAAACACACGTTTTGAAGAAAATATAATAATATCAAAATAATATAACAATATGAACATTCAAAAATATAAGTCAAAAACTTATATTTTTATGATTTCCAAAAGTGCATAACAGTAAAAAATCTATGTTTGTGTGACTCTATCGGTGTGTGGTTTTGACCAATCAAAAGTGGCCTACACACCGATGAAATATAATGATTTCCCACATATTTGGCACTAAAAACCACAAAAATAATGTCAATTACAAATTTCTTTTTATTTTATATGAGTAAAGATTTGGTGATAAAATAAAAAGAGAAATATTAGCAAACAAAAATCAAGTCAAAAAAGATAAGAAAAGTAAAGCAGAAAATGCTTTTCTCAAAATATTGAACTTAAAATAAAATAATAATTAAAAATAATAATAATAATAATAATAATAATAATAATAATAAAATGCATTAACTTCTACACACCAATCACAAAAGTTTTTAAATAATTGACCATAGTAGTATATAAATTATGTTGATTTAGGGGGGACCTCATTTTATCTATATTTTATAATACTTTAACTAAATCGCGAGGGACGCGAATCTGAAATTTCCCAAAATTCGGAAATATAGTACCGAGTTTATTTTTAAATTAATTTATTTTTTTATTTTTATTTTCCCTAAAATGAGCACAACACAAGAATACAGATTAAATAATTTTTATCAATTTACTAATAACTATTCAATAGGAGGTTTAAACTACTGTTTGCGAACTACCTCTTTGCGACTTTACTAACAAAAAACCCAAATATGGGTTTCTTTTTGTCGTCTTGGATTTTACATAGTTACCAAAAATATATTTACGTCAGTATGGTGTTCGAGGGTCGCCCGTTTTCGTGCACCCTAAATTTTAGGTTCTTCTATAGATAAATCAAATCTTTGTAAATAATTATTTAATATTGGATCTGCTTTCTTGTCTATATAATTTGTAATCTTTTTTAAAGTATTTAGTAATATATCTTGCTTGTTTTTAAGAATATCTATTTCTTTTTTTTTAATTCTTCTATTTCTTCGGAACTACATTGTTTATCTTTATCTTTATCCAATAATTTATTTTCTAACTCGTTATATTGTTTATTAGATATTCTTGTTTTCTTCTTAACTAATTGTTGTTTACCTTTATCTTTACAAAACGTATATCCTTTAAGATATATAGAAGCATTTAGATCTTTGGTTTCTTTATTATTTACATCTGGATTATTTAAAATGTATCTGTTTATTTCTTTATTACATTGTTTTAATTCTTTGTTATCTTTAAGATTATTTTTATTTACTATACCTTGTTAGAACGATATATAATTTATTGGAGTAACTTTCTTATTTGTTTCTATCGGTTTGAATGCTTTATGTTTAGATTCTTCGGAGACTGGAGCTTTGCTCCCTCTTCGCGTTGCGTCTCTTTTAAGAACTTGGTTCCGTTCGAAATATTTATTAATTAATTCCATTTATAATAATATATAAACATTATTAAGTCTATATAATTATAACCATATTTTAAAAACTGTGTAACTTATGGGTAACATCTATGTAACATAAAGGTAGTTTGGTGTTATAAGTATGTTATATTATATATAAGATGTAACCAGATAGTTTGGAATAGAATTTTATTTTGGATAACATTTTTATTTTTTTCTTTTCTTTTTCTTATTTGTTTCCTTAAAATGGTTAAAGTTTTTTATAATAGTTTAGAAATCGAAAACATAGAAGATAAGATTACTATTAAAACATTAAGAAACAAAACATATAATTTTTTCCACAAAAGAAGGAAAATATTCTTATACTTTTCCAACAATATTTTTACAAAAATATAAAACCATTTAATACAAT